ATAATGGTCATTTTATGTGCAGCATAAATGATGGATTCATGGACATTGACATGACACTTCTTATGCGAGTCAGTGAATGGCTCGGGTTGAAGTGTATGAGTGAGTCTCATCTCATTTCATGGCATGACATGGTGATTTTCAACATTGAATTACATATTATTGATTGAAATGGTTGTTACTTGTTGAATGTTGCATGTGGACATTTCATATGCACTTAGGTTGGGGAATAGCCTCTTTAGGAGATACCCTGTTAAGCGTGACTCACCCTTTATGAGAAACTATTTCAGGTGCGGTTTATACATTGGTGGACGGCTCGTATTTGGGGCCTCAAGGATGAAAAAATGCCGACTTGTGGCTTTTAATTCACTTTTTGTAAAACTATTGTGAAAAACTATGCTTTTGTAAAAATTTTGCTAAGTTAGTTTTTGGGCATGTAATGCATGTAAATGAATTGTAATAAAACTCATATGGCCAATTTTTAAGGTAACATTGCATGTTAATATGAGTATGGATAAATGGGCCCGATGTGGTCTATGTTTACTCATAAATGGACCTAGTGTGGTCAATGTTGTATAATTGTATAGGTTGTGTTTTGGGTAGAGCTCCCCGTACAAAAAAGACTCTGTCCGAATTTTGGTAAATTATGGATCCCAAAAAATGGGGCATAACGGTGTAATATCGAGTCACACGGTATCCACGAGTATTCCGCAAGTTGATGGGTGATCAACAGGTTGACAAAGGACCCCCAATTTTAGGGGCGTCACAAATAATATAATAGAACTTTTTGAGAAGGTTCAAAAGACTTATGCACAATATTCTTATCATGAAAATTTTTCATTATGGACTTGGCAATCTTTGCATTTCATATGTTTCATTTCTCAGTTCATCCAATTCATTAATCTGGAGGTTGCGGGATGCACTTGCTTTGTCCATAGCACAGTTTGTCATTTTGATTGCCCATTATGCTTGATGTTCCAATTCCACAGGCAAGTGACATGGTNGTTTCATTTCTCAGTTCATCCAATTCATTAATCTGGAGGTTGCGGGATGCACTTGCTTTGTCCATAGCACAATTTATCATTTTGATTGCCCATTATGCTTGATGTTCCAATTCCACAGGCAAGTGACATGGTTTATTGTAAACTAACTGATAAGGAGACATTCCAAAAATAGTTTGTATGCAGTACAATAAGCTCAAAATGCATCTGCCAGTCTCAAAGACCAATCACTGCGTTTCGGATTTACTACTTTTTCTAAAACATATTTTATCTCCCTATTGGTCAATTCAGCTTGTTCATTTGTATGGGGATGATAAGGGGCATATATATTTTGAGAAATCAAATATTTTTCATTAGGTTTTCAAAAACTTTCTTACAAAAATGTGTTCCCCCATCACTAATAATGGCTTGAAGAATTTCAAATCTGGACATAATATTTTCTTTTAAAAACTTGATCACTGTGCGGTGATCATTATTTTGACAAGGGATTGCCTCTACCCATTTGGAAACATAATCAATGGCAACCAAAATGTACAGATAACCCAAGGATGGGGGAAATCATTCCATAAAATTGATGCTCCAACAATCAAAAATTTCAATAACTAATTAGGGTTTAAAGGCATCATGTTTCTTTTTGAAGTATTTCCCATTCTTTGACATATGTCACAGTTTAGACAAAAATATGTACATCTTTAAAAAGGGTGGGCCAATAAAATTCACATTGTAAAATTTTAGCAGCGATTTTATTTGAAAAAAAACGCCATCGGCATGCTTTAGAATGACAAAATGAGTTAAGCTGACCGATTTCATGAATGGGTACACAACGCCTTATTATTTGATCTTTGTAGTACTTAAACAGATAGGGATCTTCCCAAATGAAATTGTGTACCTCTCTCAAAAAAAATTTTATGTCGGTCCAGGTATAATGAAAAGGAATAGTACATGTGACTAAATAATTGGCTATATTTGTATACCATGGTACTTCTATCTCGGTAAATAACTGCTCATCTGGAAAAAGGTTTCTTTGAATGGTATTGACTCTTCCTTTATATCGTAATTCAGCCTTGATAGATGACCGGCTACCACATTTTTGACTCCTTTCTTATCCTTGAAGATAAGTTTAAATTCTTGAAGCAATAGTATCTAACGTAGGAGACGTGATTTAGCATCTTTCTTAGTGAGTAAGTATTTCAAGGCTACATTATCAATAAACACAACAATTGAGGATCCAACCAAATATGAAGGAAGTTTATCTGAAGCAAATTCAACAACAAACAATTCCTTTTATGTGATAGAGAAATTTATTTGTGCATTATTTAAATTTTTGCTTGCATAGTAAATCACATAGGGTTTTTTATCTTTTCTTTGACCCAAAATGGCTCCTACTGCATATTCACTAGCATCACACATTAACTCAAAAGTAATAGACCAGTCAAATGGTTGCATAATTGGTGCAAAAATAAGCATACTTTTCAGTCTATCAAAAGCAAATTGACATGCATCATTCCAATCGAATGGTAAATCTTGACATAGAAGATTACAAATATGCCTAGATATCAAACTAAAATCTTTAACTAATCTTCTATATAATCCTATATGACCTAGAAAAGATCGGACATCTTTTTCAATCTTTGGTAGAGGAAGATTGGCTATTAAATCAATTTTTGATTATCAATGTCAATTCTATATGCAGAAACTACATGTCCTAAAACAATACCCTGTGTGACCATGAAATGACAATTTCCCCAATTCAAAATAAGATTTGTTTCATGATTCCATACGTACAATTAATCAATGCATTTGATGTAGCAATGAATGGTCGACCTAAAATGACATGGATTTGTGTAGAGGCATGCAAAACTGCAGTGTATCTAAAACAATGAAATCCAATGGGAAGTAGAACTTATCAACTTGAACAAGTGCATCCTCCACAACTCCACGTTGAATTTTTACGTAATGGTTTGAATGTCGAACTATATTCTCCCGTTCAAAGTGTTATGGGTTTAGTGATATTGGGATCTTTGCTTTGAACTTTGAATACATGAACACATTATAAAATTTTATCCAATGCCAACGTATCACATACTTGTTTGCTTTTGAACTCAATCATAAGTGCACCTTGAATGTGTAATTTTGAAAATTTACGAATTGAATTCACATTTTAGAGCTTGACATGAGTAGTGGAGTTGACTACGTACCAATGAGAGCCTTAGTGCCAATCCTTGTTGGAGGGAACTTACATTTACTCAAGGAACAATTTTTTAAATTCAAATCTGTTCAATAATCTCATTATACTTGCTTTGGTGGGAATGCATTTGGGTAGTTGATTGACGTTGTCTTTAAATGCAATATGCTTCCCCATGCTTATCTACAAACGATCTTAGGCCATTTTGTTTCACTTTGAGCCTTAGCCTTTTTCTTGCAAAAAATTATATCCCTAGTGCCATGATTGAGCCCAAATTAAAGATTCATTTCCATACCACATGTTTGACCAAGCTAGTGCAAAATGATAATAAATTACCACACCTTTGTTATTTCGAGATCGACCGTGAGTGATCGTAAAGGGAAGGAATTGTGGTGAGAAAACCCGGGAAGGGATATATGGTGCCAAATTCAAAAATTTTGAATGGAAAAGAAAGAAAAATCCAAGAAAAAAAAGGAGAATAATGAGAAAAGGAAAAGGAAAATGTAAAGGAAAGAAGAATAAAAAGAAGCAAAACGTGAAGTGAATGTGTTAAGCTAAAAATTCCACAAAAAGGGAAATGTTTGAAAAAAAAAGGTCATGCCCACAGAATAACCCTCTTTGTTGTCCTCTATACTTCATTTCATTTGCCTCAATGTCACCCCAAAGGCCTCGTTACAACCTTTGAAAGTCCTAAATTATATAGAGAAAGCATGGTGAAAGCATATCTTTAAATAGAAAAAAAGATGGTTTTGCTATCTAGTGCCCTAACATTCCATTCATGGGATTATGCCAAGGTTGTTTCATTTATTATGCATGTACTTCATTTTTTGAGTTATATGTGAGCATATTTCGGTTTGTGCACAAGATTCTATCTCACGTATACACATGGAGAGCATGTTAGGATAATCATATCGTTATTCATTTTTGAGAAGAAACCTTGGTGAGCCTGCATTAAAACAGAATTTGGATGGGTCAGTGAATGTGAATTCCGTTGGGTAAATATTTACATTACATGTTCACTTCACACACATGATTTTGAAAACAAATGTGCATGTGTATACTCTAGAATAGCATTTAAATCCATAATGAAGTTCATGTATGCTTTGTTTTGGTGTTTGAACAATGTTGCCATGTAACCCTATACATGGAGGATAGGAGAATATTGCCCAACTTTAGATATTATGAAGGATAAAGAATGCCTTTACATTGTAGATTTGTGCTTCACACACTGGGTGTTCATCTTCGTAGTTAAACTTGGAAATCCATGTCATGTGTTTTGAAAGCATCAAAAGACTCAAATCGCATTTCAATTTCGTAAATGAATTTGGGGATTGCCATTCATTTGTGGTTCACTCGCATCAGTTCAGTTTTTTTGTTAAGTGCAAAGTTGTAAATAGGTTATTTAGAGGCACAAGAATTGAATATAATTAGAGTAGAGTTGGAAATCAAATCACAAAATTTTTTTTTTACAAAAAAAGCTAAAACCTTCTGGTAGAAATTTTCTACTACACAAAACCTACCGGGAGGTTTGATTGTTATACCGGTAGGTTTTGCCCAGACAACCAGGAACCAAGGTTTTAAATATGATTTTTACGAGAAGTCTCTTAATTTTCTCCACTATTCTTCATCTTACAGGCCCTCTCCTCTCCCTCAAAACTTCTCAAAACCTCAAAGAACCTGAGCCCATCCATGTTTGGGTTGATTTTCACTATGATATCATTACAAATTGGTTGGAGTTTTCTCACAAACCATCTTTTTCTCCATTTTTCCCCAAATCCACTACACTTAGGTTTTCAGCAAAAGATTGAATTCCATCCTCATGGCTTGCTTGGGTAAGTACTCTTGTGTTTCTTTTCATGTTTTTGAAGGGTTGTGGAGTTCATTTTTGCCAATTGTGCCCTTGGGACATTCTTGATGTTCTTGGCCCAAATGAAGCAACCGGGACCAAGTGCCCCACCACCTACAGGAACGGAACCCAATCCTCCACCACCCATGAGCACAAGACAACATAGAGGACACTGGCAGGCCCTAGTGGTGGAAGTGGAGAGAGGAGAAAGAAACAAAAGAACAATGCTCACAGGAAGAGCATTGAAAAGAAGAATGTGATGTGCAAGCGTCACTTGGACAAGCCCACCCTCGGGCCACATGATGAGGTAGTTGGGGTAATTGAGGGACATGGTGTGAGACTCGAGAAAACTAATTAGGCATTTTATTTTATGTCAGTAGTCATCATATATAAAATTAAAATAGTTTTTAAAAAATATCTTTACTTGTTTCAGATTAATAAGCTAAATTTTGGGGATGAAAAGGGAAAAATTTAAAAACCCGAACAAGCATAACAAAGTTGTAATATTTTTCATACGCATATTCATACGTGACATGCATCTATATGAGTGGCAATCAATATTTAATTAGGAGTAATGATATGAGACCTAAACCTCAACAATGAAAATTTTAATATTCATAAATAATTTAAAAATAATGATTATAGGGGGAATTGTTTTATTTAAGTGTGAAAAGTTAAATAAGAATGTTGAGAGATATGAGTTTATTATTTTATGTACATTAGCGCATGTGAAATTAATTGGGTGGCAAGCATGTGACATCAATTTATTTTTAATAAAATAAGATGTGTTAGTATACAAGGAATGGTTAAGGGTTCAAAATACGAATTTAATACGTGATCAATAATTTGGATATATATATACATGTCTATGTATAAATATGCATATAAAGAAAAAGTGGACATATACATATAAGTATGTATACATATACATTATATTAGGAAATATATGTATGGATATGTATATATATGTATATATATATATATATCAGTGTGTGTCTGTGTGTGTGTATAAGTGATGATGAAAGTCTCCACTTAGCAAGACATACAAGGCATGTCTTGCATGCAAAAAAAGAAAATAAACAAGATGGAAGTCTCCACTAGCAAGACATGGAAGGCATATCTTGCATGCAAAAAAAAAAACAAGAAGTCTTACACATTTTCTACAAGAGCAAGAAGAAGAAGGAAAGAAAAAAAAAGAGAAGAGAAGAAAGAAAAAAGTGTGGGTGGAAAGGAGAGAATTATAATCTATTTTCTTCCTCTAAGATGTAGGAAACCAAGTCTAATATATATATTTTGAGTGTTGCATGTATTTGAAGTATGGTATATTTTAAGTATGATGCTTAGTTATTATTTTTGATTAATACATGAAAGATTTACCTCAATATTTATGTGCGTTTGTAAATTAAGTTAATGTTGTTGCATGAAAAATATAAGAGTATAATTATTGCATGTGGGTTGGTTGGGATACTTGTTATGAATGCATAGTATCATAGGTGTTGCTTGGAAAAATTAACATAGTAGTTTGTTGGGTAGCTTAGAAATCTTGTGAATTGTTCTTCAATTTTCATGAATCCATGAATATGAGTAATTACAAGTAAACATGTCATTTTATGCTTAAATATAAAATTATGCAAATTTAAGTATATTTTTTTTATGTTTATAATTTTATGAAAAATGTTAAATTTGGGTGTAATTGATTCGAATAAATATTTTATAAACGGATTCAAGAAGATTAGCTAAATTTGATTCGAGTAGATAATTTCACTCGATGCGAATTGATTACTTAACTTGGCTCGAGTTGATTATCAAACTATTAGTTTAATCAATTCGAATAGATAATGTAATTGAATACAAATAAATTATTTAACTCGAACGGATATAATCATTAAACTAGGTTCGAGTAAACCATCTCAAACTTAAGCGGTATTACGTATTAATGTATGAATGTAATTGTGAATATCGGTTATGCTAGGTCTAGAGATGAACATCGCTAAAAATGCCGCACTAGAAGCTTTAGCGGAGGGGTCATCTACGAGTAAAACATCACGCAAGGTAAGTGCACCTCCCTACAACTTTTTTTGTGATAATTTATTAGACTTTTAAACATATATTTTTGCTACGATTATTGTTGAGAATAATTAATGGAGCAGAGACATAAAATAGTGTTGTGAGTGTTGTTTAAATGATGAAAGAGGATTATGTGACTTGGAGCGTCTAAGTAGCATGAATTATTTATATGACTTGAGTCGTCTATGTGATGGGATTTGATTATGTGGTGGAGTCATCTGAGTAACGTGATCAAAAACTTTCTGTGATGTGGGTCGTCTGAAGGAAAACCATTAATGTGGTTTGGCTTGTCTCAGTGATGAATGATATCTATGAGGTGTTAAAGCTTGCAATACATGTGGCCTGTGTGGCACAAGAATCTGTACAACTATATATAGTCTAACTGGCGGTTGTTGTTTGCAAGGTGATTAGTTTGTGTGCATGTGGGGTATTCATTGTGAGGAATAATTTAATTATGTAGAAGTAAATATATGTGTTGTATATTTTGCCGATGTGGTATATACAGGATATGGCTATGCTATGTAAGCGAATGTGTATGAGGTGAAGTGCAATTTGTAAGTAAGTATCTGATAAGTGGTTAAGGTTGTTCCTAAATAAATAAAGTTTCATTTATCAATTGTTGTGCTCTTAAATAAATAAAGTTTCATTACTAATAGTCTTAATGACTTTTCAGGAAAAACCATAAACACGTGAGGAGTCCACTGCCGAGTCTAGAGAGTCGACTGGGATGTCATCATGGGGTTAATTTTTTATATGTCCTATAAATTTAAATTGTATTATTATATGTCATATTCTTGAGATCAATATTACGGTTTGTAAATAAGTAGGGCTCATGGCAAGTCATACCACTAAGGGTTTGATGATTTTTTTTTATATGCTTATTTTTATAAAAAGAAAGGTGTATGAAAGAAAAACAGGGATTACAAATACTGTACCCCATATTGGGGTGTTACACATGGAATCAACATTTGGTTTGAGCCCATAAAGGTTTACGTCCTTTCATACTGTAGGGAATTTTATCAGCAGCTAAGGGTGGTGGATGAAGACTTATTTTTTCTTAAGACGAATGTGAAGGGAAACACAATGCAGATTACAATAGGAATGATTGCGGAAGTTATGTATTACACAAGACCTCCTTCCAATGTCCCAGTCTACTGTCACAATAGCCAAGGGAGGAAATCACTTTCAGACTATGTGCATTTGATGTATGAGAACCCGATGCAATTCAAAGGAAACAATCCAAGTCGATACACTCCAGCATACATACTGAGTGATGAATAAGATCCTACACTACAACTTTATGCCTCAAAGAGCAGAGAAGACCNCAATGCAATTCAAAGGAAACAATCCAAGTCGATACACTCCAGCATACATACGGAGTGATGAATAAGATCCTACACTACAACTTTATGCCTCAAAGAGCAGAGAAGACCCTGGGGGAGGAGAAGCTAGCCCTCCTCCATGCCTTAATAACAGGGAAAGTGATGGACATTGCACTCATGATCTGGGAGGAAATGAAAGAGTATGCCCAGGCTAACAAGTGAAAGGCGAATTTCCCATTTGACAATCTTGTCACCAAGCTATGCCTCCACTACAAGGTCAAGGGGCAGTCCCTTAAATGTCACCCTTCCCTCGGAGTTCAGAGCCATAGAGAAGTCTAGCAGTATGAAGAGGACCACGATGAGTAGAAGGGAGGGACCCTCCATGATTGGACCACCTACTGCTAGGCCATCCTCCATAGTTGGACCATCTACTGCTAGGCTATCCACCACTGCCCCACCTTGAACATTTTCTTAATGCCTAGATGGTATAGAGGGAAGACTAGATGACTTCAGTGGGACTATGTAACATCTCTCATTGACGGTGACTAGGATGTATGAGCATTTATTTTCAAGAGAGCCTATCCCTGACGTGCCTCCACTTTCTACTTTTGTAAAGGTGGAGTCTGATGATGAGGACGCCGTGGACAAGGAGGGTTCAGGAGGTGATGAAGAGAGGTACGAGGAGGGCTCAGGAGATGATGATGTGGAGTAAAAGGATCATTTTGGTTTTATTGTTGTTGGTAGTTTACACTCAGGGTTTAGAGGTAGGCGGTCTAGTTGAAGAGTCTCTAGGATCACATGTCGTTTTGTTTTTTTGTTTCAAAATCATTGTACTAAACCTTTTGGAAGTTGTTAATAAGAGAACCAAATTTGTTTCATTTCAAATTGCCCAAGTCATTTACATAATTGCTTTATGATTTGAGTACGTTGGTTGCTTGGGGAATTACTTAGCATGAATGGATTGTTTGTTTTATTATACTGTGAACTAAAAATAAAGCTTGCTAGGGACTAGAAAAACTCAAGATGGGGGGTGTGATGAGTATAGAATATTGCATATCTTATTTCTCTTTTTTCATCTTCATGGCTTGTTTTTGTGGTGAAAATTGGGGAAAATATATTTAATGTCACATTTAATGGAGTTTTGTATGTTTGTAGGTAAAGAGTACGTAATGGCATGCATTTTACCTCCCATCAAGTGCTTGAAGGAAATGGGGAAGAAGGGATGGCTTAACGGATGGCATGGAGCACAAAGGAAGCAAGTAAATTCCAAGACAGAGCAAAACTTACCGGTGGAAGTTTAGTAAAACCAACCGGTACAAGTTCAACAAAACCTACTTGTAGGTTTAGTGCACTGGATTTTGTCTACCACATCCTTTGCCAAAACCTACCAGTAGGTTTTGCCTACTAGAAAAAATCTACCGGTAGGTTTCATGATCGTTTTACTGGCAGGTTTTACATAGACTTGCCAGCAACCTGCCACACTTCTCCACCTTCTCCATAGGCCCACCTGTGCTCATCCATTCCATGCCCTAAGACATTTTACAACCCAAGATAATCTCCTTGACCAAAAATATCAGGTTGAAGAGGAGTAAGCAAGGAAAGGAAAGAAAGAGAATATGAATGGTTGGGGGAAAGCATGAAGGAGGCATGTTGGCCTGTGGTTGCTTGTGGTAGTGTCCATACTCCCTCTACTCATTACTCTTCAGTTCTCACAGACCATAGGGGGGTTATGGAAGAAATTGGGAAGACTACTACACAATTATTCAGCTACATGCATAATTTTAGAGAGAGAATCTCAATGAAGAAGATGAAGTTAGAGAGAGAAAGTTGGGTTTTTCATATTTCTTCACCATTTTCAATGGTGTATGCTTTAAATTACTTGTAATCCTTCCCCTTTACA